AATAATTCCCTGAAAGCTAATCAATCACTTTAAAGGGTCATATGTAAAAGAGAGTTGTGAAGGTTGTGATTTCTTGTTAATTTGAATATACTTTAACTCTACTCTATATATATTTCTTTCAGTGACTGACTCTCCTGCCTGTTTTTGAGTGTCTCTGGCACAATGCAAGTGACAGTTTATGGCATGCAGGTATGGCATGCATTTTATTTGCTTTCGATTAGACCCAACTAACTGTCTCGTCTGCTGCAGTTTGTTTGCCATTTGTTTATGGCGACTAATTTCGTGTTAAGAAATTTGCTAACAATCCGGCCTGGCCCCGAAGGTGCTCCTCGTCCTGCTCCTGCTCCTGCTCCTTAGCCTGTCCATTTGTCACGGTTGAATGGGTGTTTTCAAAGGAGCACACTGCCAAACAGTCGCAGTCGCAATGCCAGTCTAGACAAGGGTCCGTACACTCGCATGACGCAGCCTGTCAAAGGCAGCTGCTCGTCCTTCTCTCTGTCTGTCTGTCAGCCTGGCCTGAACTTGAATTTTAAATGGCCCGAACCGCAAATAACATGTGTGCAGACGGATGCGGGCCATGTTGTCTGTGGTCATTAAATGTCAGCGGCAGACGGGAAAAAATCAAACGCAAGCCACCGCATATTACGCATTAATAAGCCAGAACTGCTGTTCGACTAAATGACGTCCAATAACTGTCAAATTTGACAGTCTTTCCGCATCTAATTTTACCTTATGGCATTTGTAATAAATCGATTTTAAGGGAAATTAACTTAAATATTTTTAGGAAGAGTTAGATGGTAGGAACTCCTAGGCCTAATCGTTAATTGGTTTCTTCTATGTTGAATAAATCATTTTATAAAATGCGGGGAGTTGAAAAACGCTAAATCAACAGATTTTCCGACCTCCACTTGATGATATTGTCACGTACGGCGTTATACGCTGCGTATGCGCAACAAATCGGGGTCAAAGCCAAATAAACATAATTTTCTCCTTTTTTTTGGTGGGTGTGTGTGGCTGGTGTTACTCTGTATCTTCTGCTTTTGCTGTCCCATCAACAATCAAGCTAAAAGCCACGTTCAGGTGAAGTTTGCCCCTTGTTGTGTATGTGGTGGTGTGTGTGTGTGTCGCATATGTAACAATGTTTGCCTGGCCAGATTAAAAATTATGCTTTGTTTGCCCAACTGTCAGCAGAAAAAGCACGAGCAACACCGTCGACATGGAAAACCCCCCAAAAAACGAGGCAAATACAAAAAAAAAAGAATGAACAACTGGTGTAAAAAACTTTCTGGCCTATACACAGTGACAGTGACAACAAACCAAACAAAAGTTGGCCAACAACAACACACAAAAAAAATGAAACAAAATCACAAAATAAAAGCAAAGAGCCAGAGAGTTCCGTTCTTACCTTGCCCCGAAAATGTGTGTCAGCTGATACATAAGAGCCACCCCACCACCACCCACGCATCATAATCATTTTGGATTTTTTTCGGCCATACTGTGTTGTTGGTGGCAATCAGCATTTTTCTTTATTTCTGGCCCGTTTTGCAAGCTGAAGTTTATTTTGTAAACATGCCACTAAAAGTTTTCCACTTTGCTCTAAAATACTCAAACCGAATGCCAACACCAGCGACAACGTGTCCCTAAAACCTCAGGCCCCGCTCTCTCCCTCTCTTGTGCTGCCCAGCCAGTTTCTTTGTGCTTGCCGTTTTTTAGTTAATTTAAAAAGTTGATTTTTTTCGTTTTGTCGACCTCCTGTACTAGCAGAGAAATTCCTGTCGTTCGTTCCTTGCTTTTGATTTGCAGCAGTCAGAAAAATTGGTAAGCGATTCGTCGAAACGTTGCGGAGAACTACACACAAACACGAAGGAGGGATTTATATACATATATTTTTGTAGTGGCAGTTTTGTAGTTGCGGCTGGTCGAGCCCTGGGAAAACTGACATTTGTGCTCCTTTCCTTCCTTCTTCAGTATTTTCTTGTACATATTTTTTTGCCAAGAAATTGCTTTTAGAGTTTTCTTTTTTTCCTGGGTTTGCTTTGCTTTTGACTGCTGCCGCTCAAAAAATGTTTCTTTTATTTATGTGCTGTCACCGAAATTGAATTAGAAATCGCTTGTGCTGGCAGCCAAACCAGAGGTCGAAATGGATCTTAACTCTGTGAAGTTGTGATGAAAGAGGATTCGCACAACGTGTTTAAGTATCTAAAACAGTAAGTCACAGGTTGTTCAAGAACTAAAGTTCCTTAGTTTAAACATTAAAGCTTACTTGGTAGTACCCAGAAATATAATTACTTTTAAGGAACTTTATCAAAAACAAGTTACATTATAGAATCAAAGCTTATGAACTTTGTTTAAAACAGAAAATTGCATTTAAACCTCAAATTGTAATCAAAAGAAACATTCCAATGAGGCTTTAAAAGTATAAAAATATTATAAAAGAAACTTGCCTTTATTTGAATAAAATATGAATATTTTCTACTCACATATACATCATATTCATTTCAGATAAAATCCCATTCAAGTTCAAAACACTGTAGTCTAATTGTCAGAAATTCCCCGACCTATTTTGCAATCAAAGCAGGCCCCCTTAATGGCTGCATTTAACCCTTTCCATGAATTTCAATGGCCACGTTATCCTAGCCAAGATGGACCGCTTTGCTTACCAAAATATTCGCATTGTCTGCATTTTGATGGCACACAGCAAGGATCTCCATTCAACTGCACTTCGCCCGAATGCTGCACGTTTGGCGGCCTTTAATTAGATTTCATTCGACCGTCGTCCGTCGACATCGTTGTCTTTTCGTTGTACGCCAGCATTCCTAGTTCCCTGCCTCCTGTCCGTATCCTTGTCGCAGGACATCGACGCCCGCTGACAACTGCGTTGCGTTCCAGTTCCCTTTCCTCGTTGCCACTTTGCATATAGAGCTCCATCTCGCCCAGTGCTTGTCAGCGCAAAATTTTTGAGCTTTTTGCGTGAAAAATGATGGGAAATAATTTGCCAACGATGCTGTCCTTGGTCCTCTTTTGCCAGACCGAAAGACCAGGAGTAAGTGGGTCGTGAACGTGCGTTTGATGTGGCCATTTGGCGCACCTCACCAGAGATAGAAATGGAGAATGGCGGGTGCCGTGGGATGGTTTGTTTTTTCCGCTACTCTCTCTTTTCTCTTCTCGTTGTGTATATTTTAGGTGAAATTTATTTTACTAATTATTATGTAAGCGGCGGCGCTGTGAAGCTTCCAGCGCAAGTGTTGGTTAATGAAATTAAAGCGCTTTTAAAGTGCGCCACGCCACGCCCATCGCTACGTATTGTAATTTATGTGCCAGCTGTGTCTAACACGTTTTAAAATGTAGCATAACGCAAATGATCGATAATTTATACCCATAAAATAAAGTTAACCTTGCTGAGAGAAAACTCCACCCCCTACACCCCGCTGTGCAATATGATAATGTTCCGGTTTTAACTCAATTTCAGATGCCAACGCCGGGCGATATTCCCCGTGGTGGCCCAAGGTGGACAGCAAAATAAATTTTACACACATATCCAGTGAAATAACAACATGCACACTATATACATTTATATATTTTACCTTACTATATATAGTAGTATGTATATTTTTTTATAGCTCTCCGGGGATAATCAGCGGAAGAGAGAGAGATTGGGGGGCAGCATCGGTAGCAAAGCTAATGTAAAGTCCAACACAGACACATAAAAATGAGAATTTATGCATTTTTTCGAGGCTCAGACCGGTGGGGCAGAAAACAGTCAGCCAAAGTAGCCACCGCAGGGAGCAGGAACAGGACGAACAACAGCCTGCCAGGACAGGACAGGATCCGGGATCCTGGAACCAGGAGCACCGGCAGAGGTGACACAGGTGACGCTTTTGTGGATTTGTGGCCAACATTGGCGTTTATTACTGGCGGGGGCCGAAGGGGAAAGGAAGTGCGCACATGTCGCTGCGGAAAAACGCTATGGCAACAAAATGTCCATAATGAAGTTGTAAAAATTGCATAATTTTATTTCGTTCTTTTTCGTATTAATTTAAACATTTTTACCTCTCGCTGGGCAAAAGTTTTGTTCGTTTATGCAAACTACACAAAAAAAAAATGAATATATATAAATTGGTTGACCACACTTTTAAATGTTTGGTCAGAAAAAATATGTACTGAACTTCAAACAATGGATTTAAATGTTCAATTAAGGGACGCGTTCTGGGAAACGAATAAATGGCCAAAAGGAGACTTAAACTGGCCAGGTACATTGCTAATTTCACAAGAATTGAAGTAATAACAACTTAACACATTTAATTGTATAAAACAATATTTCCCATTTAAATTTTAAGAATTTAAAAACTGTATTTTTCTACATAATTACCCAAATGAATCTTATCTCCCTTTTCTTGACTTGACAAACATAAACGAGTCTTTGAAACAAAACTCACAAATGGCTAATTAAAAATGTATAACTTTTGATGCATAATTAAATTTTATTTCTTGTGAGCGGCTGAACAGAAAGTTAAGGAAAAAGAAAAACAGTGCCACATTTTAAAGTCCCCCAAAAAAAAGTGGGAAAACATTTTGGGTAAACAAATGCGGGCGTGAAAAATTGCAATTGCAAATGAAACGGACACTGAGCAAATACACCAAATTGAAAAGCAAATGATGGCCAATAAAATATATAACGAAAATGGAAACAAAAAATGCCAACCGAATAAATAAATTTCGATCTTTTCAATAAATATCTTTTTAATTTAACAGAAATAATCGTGATTAAATAATGTCTCTATAGATAAAATATAACATTTTAATTTGTCGAAATTGCAATGATTTTAATTAAGGGAAAGTAGAGTAAAGAAACCCTCCTAAAATAAAAAGAAACAAAGGTCTTTGATATAAAAAATACCCTTTCTAAACCCTATATCCAACTTTTGAGCTGATTTCATAGCTGAAATCATCTGAATATTTATAAAAGAGTCTATCGATAAAAAGTAAATTATGAAACTTACCCGGCTTGAAGCCATCGGCATGCTCGTGCGTATTAGCAGAGGATATGATGGATCCCATGATCAGGCTGACGATTAATGGGATGGTCCAGGACATGGTTATGGCTCTGTAACCGATCCGGATTGGCTGAGATAGCGGCTTAGTTAGTATTATAGGCGTGGCTTGGATGCCGGAGCTCACTGCACGAGCATTGAATATGCTAATAAATGGGGCTCGCTCCGGTCGAACATCGCTTCAAATATTTAAGCTCGTTGCTCTAATTCCCTTTTCTCGGTGATTTGTTGGCGGCGTTTTATCGTTTCGTTTGCTCTTCACTCGTGTTTTTTTGTATTTCACTTAATTAAAAACTTTTTGGGCTGCACATAAATTCATTTTAATATTTACAAACATTTTTCTTTTTTTCTTTGCACGGCTCCTTGACTGCCTACGCTGGTGTTTGTACAAAACGCATAACCGTTAAGATGAATTTTTAATAGAATTTGACGAGGCTCAACTTTGGTCACCTATATATATATATATATAAATATATGTATATATGTATGCAAACATATATATATATAAATTTGTATATAAAAGTGTGTGTACGCTGTGTGTGTGTGCGCCCTTGTTTATAAATATTTAAAATAAAACGCGCACGTGTTGCTCATTTCGCGCTCGTTTTCTTTGCACGTCCTGCATTAAAAATGTAATTTCAAAATCCTTTTTCCTCGCATCCTGAGGCTAAGCCGTTGCCATGGCCATGTCCTTTTCCTCGCCAAGTGATAACTGCAATTAAACATAAAGAGATGGATCAAATTAGAGATTTAGCTCGTAATTTCAGCGGACGTTTCATGTGGTTAGTTGGGTTTTAATTAAAATTCTCGCATATTTGCCCACTAAGCCAGTTCGTTCTGGGCACCGCTTTTAGGGGATTTCATGGCACTGCTCTGCCATAAATAAATGCTCATTAATTCGAAGGCCATTACATAATGCCAGGACAGATAGACATTCACACACACACACTCACACACAGGGAACAACTTAATGCCAATCAATAATGATGGATTAGCTGGGGAGAAGCTTACACAGGAGAAGTTCCATCTATCGGTTCGACGGTGGGTTAAGCAAACAAATAGTCCAAGTTTAGCTTAGCTGGAAATTAATTGAGGAAGAAGGAAAAACAAAGAACACTGAGGGAAAAGTTTGTTGGGAAGTTAATCTCAGTTTCCTTTTTTTTTTTTTTAATTTTTACATAATTACTTTTACCCAAATACCGTTCTTTATTTCTTAATTATTATTTATACAATCACAGCTTTGAGTTCAGTTATTTTTAAAACTCCTTCTATATATTTTATTATCCATCATCATAATTTTCTGCAGTGCATTTTCACGGGAGATATGGTTGGAATTCAAATACAGTGACCCAGAGCAACATCCACCTTACATGACATTCCCAATCGCCTTGTCAATGGCCTAATGTGTGTGTGTATGGCCGCAGAGTTAAGCAACCGGAGGACTCCAGGACATCCCCTCGCCCACCCGCGCCACCCCTTGCTAACTAACGGTAATTGACAAAAGAGTCATGAAAACTTTGACTCGAAAGTTGTTGCCACGTTTTTGTTTAACACGCAGCCAAACAAGCTGACAAACTTGTATGACAGCCAGTCAAGCGAAGTTCGCCAGCGCCTGGGAAAAACCTGGCACTTGGTGGGACCCAAAAGGACTAAGTGGGGGAGAGGAACGCAACAGGATGTGGGTGCAGGTGCGATGGGTCAGAGGAACAGGACCACCTGAGCAGCGGCAGTAGCAGCAGTAGTAGCAGGTAGTGCCTGTAGTCACACCCACGCAGAGCTCAGCCCAGGGACAAGTTGTGTTACTTGAGCAAGTTTGCATTGGGTAATTAAGAGCTGTGCAAGTGTTTATTGAGAGATTGTCGGCGGAGAGTGTCTCTACTTATGTGCGAGAGGCTGTGGGGGTCCTTAAGGGGCGAAAAAGTTTAGTTTTTCAAGCCATGCGGACCACAAGGGAAGACTAGGGAAAAACTTTGTCTTGTAAAAACGATTAGCGAGCATGGGATAACATCTTCATTTTTATATATATTATTATTTTTTAAGATATCTTCAGGAAGGGAGATTATTTTTTTAAAAGCCTCATTATAAGGACATTCACACTTTGCTTGTTAAGTAAACGAGTTTTTTTCTTTTTTTGGGTAACTTGATATATTATATTTTAAATAGTAATTCTTTCTAATGAGTAACATTATAAAGACTGTATTTTTCCCCATCTTCCATTCAATTTCCCTACATTTAACATAAACCCTTGAGATATAGATCTAGGCAGTAATAATTTCAGCACTGCTTACCCCCCCCCCCCCCAAATGGATCGACAAATTCGAAGTCACTTGGCTAGTCAGTGAACCCATTTGCCCATGTGCCCATGGAAAGAGTCAACAAATGGCACATTAGACACTGCAACCGATGGCAGCGGCTGAAAAAACAGCAGGACGGTGGCAAACAAAAACCATTGACAAAAACCCAGTCAATTATGCCAACAATATGCACACATTTCAAAAACGATGCCAGACCGACCAGGAGCGAGAGCCTCAACAACAAACACGGCAAGGACAACACGGATATACCATAAAGCTCTGGCAATGCTAAACAATAACACAAAAAAAAGGGTGGGGAAAAAGCGAATGAAAAAAAATCTAACCAAGCCCACCCAAACCAAGTGAATAGTTGATGGTGAGGAGGAAAATCAAGGGAAAAACGAATATAGAGTCAGTGTGAAGTTGGTTGAATGTTTTTTCGCCCTGTAGCAATAGTTTTCATTTTATTTTTCACTAGCTCTGGCTTGGTTTTACACATCTAGGAAGCTAAACGTATAAAATTATATAAAATTTAATATATATAAATTTTAATCAATTAATTTTTGTTAGTTAAAGAACACATTAGAACAGAAAACCATCAAAATAGGGGCTGACAAGATTTAACACTATATTTTAGGGAATTTGAAACTTCGGCTAGATTAATGTACACTTCTCCATTACTATTTTTGCTCTTGTCCACTTTTTATTTTCATTGCAAGTTACCTGGCATTGCCTTCGAGCGCTTAGCGTATAAATTGAGCGCAGCAATTTCATTTAAATGTGCACAATAAACTTAGTTCATGACCCTCGAGCAGTCGTTGTGTTGTATGTCGTTTATGTCTGCACATCGTCTAAATGGTAAATCACATTAAAATTGCGAGCAACATGCATAATGCAGGCCAGGCCAGAGGAGGCCAAGCAAAAACCAGGCAGTACGAATGACAGCCACGGCAGGAACCGGAAGTGCAGCACACTCACACACACACACACCAACTGCCTTTTTCTGTGGGGCAATTGAAATGAAATGAATTGCGGTTAAGAAGGAGCCGGCGAACAAAGCAAAGTCAGCAATGGAAATCAGGAAAAGAAACAGGAAGAATCGCTGGGAAACCCTTTGCCGCCCGCACTAGCAAAATATAGAAAAACTGTCGCCAAGTGAAATCGATAAACATGAGGGAAACTTGAGCGATCGGGTTGAGTGAGTGGCATCGGGCATAAAGGTAATTTAGTCGCTTGACATGCTTTTCCAACTGCCAAACGTTTTTCATTTCATTTCAGTGCGCTTTCCACCGCTTTTCCCCTACTCTTTTCGAGATTTCACTGCACTTCTTGTTACAGCATTGCATTTGATTTGCATTTCCTCCACTCCGTTCTCCAACCCAACAGATAGATAGATAGATAGATAGTGATAGTGTGTGTCCATCTATATCCATCTGCTTTTGTCAGGGAATTTGGCATTATTTGACAGCAGGGAAAAGCCAAATTGATTGGCTGAATGAAAATTAATTTAAGCAAAGCTGCTAAGGAACTCGCTCTCTCTGTCCACAGGCTGCACTCCAATTAAATCCCGCCTTCAGCTGGGCATAAAAATTTAAGCAATATTTTAAAAGCCTGTCTACCGTTCGTTGCATATTTTATACCTTATATTTACAGCAAGGAGGAGGGTTTGAGTGGTAGAGCTCCACTTTTGCACCTGCAACTGCAACAATTTCTTCTGGCTCTTGTTGTTTCTGTTTTTTCCGGTATTTTTTCGTAGATATTTATATATATATATATTTTTTTTACTTTTTGCTGCCTCAATTTCCGGCAAACTGCCGACACGGCTTATCCCTCGTCTCCCTTCTGCCGCACCACTCACTTTGCTTGCCCCGCGGGCCTGGACCATGCCCACTTTCATTTCAACTACACGCTCAAGTGAACTTCGCTAAATAATACAACAAATTGTGCAGTGGGGCCAACTTCAAGCACCCTCAACGCAAAAAAATTTAAAACATTTTCGTAAAACTGTGCGATATATATATTTTGCAACTTGCATTTTTAATATTGAGCTAGGTAAGGAGGGGTGCGTGAGGGGATGATGTCGACCTAAATATTTGCCATGCTGTTAAATTAAAAGAGAACGAATAAAACCAGAGTCAGCACGATGGGTAGTGCGAGAAATAAAAGGCACAACTAAATCAACAAACGCCTCCGGGCCAAAGGCAGACATTATGAAAATGGCGACAAACGACCGGAAGTAGCCACCATCACCGAAAGCTCCCTCACTCACACACACACACGCACGCTGGGCAAAAACTACATACATTTGCACAAATAGCACACACACAGAGCAGCACATGGGATATAGTCCGTAGCCCGTAGCTAACCTGGCGCTGACTTCCTGCGATTTAAATATGGCCAAGCCGCAGCACCAAAGCCAAACAGACGACAACGCATGCAAACAGAAGAGGAGGTGGGTGGGAGGCAATGGGAGGAGGTGTGGGTCAGAGAGGTGTACGAGGGGGAAAGGCCAACGGAGGAAGCAGCCAGCTATATAATGAGGCTGAAACCAGGCTCGCATTCGCCCGCTGCTCATTTCCAGGTCGACATAATTTGTCCATAATTTGTCTGCGACTTGCGAAAGAGGGGGTTGGGATGTGGGAACCCCCGCGTCTGAGGGTTTATCTATGCCCCCACTGGAAAGCTATTTATGTCCTCTTCTGGGGCTCTATTCATCCTCGGAAAATTCTATTTTAGCTATGGAGGGGGGAATGTAAATTATGAAACGGAGTCAATTTTTAATAGAGAAATCGGGTGAGAAAGAAATAGGCAATACACTGTGGCAGAGAATATTGGGAAGAAACAATTAATTAACTTCCATTCATATTTTTATATGTTAATTTA